AAGAACAATTTCTTATTTCTGTTACATGTAGAAATACAATTACATGGCCAACACTTCAGTTCTTCATTGGCACACCTATTATAAAAGACGTTCTGAAGAAAAGGAATTTAAGAAAAAATACAATTTTGTGATAAGGTTCCCAAATGTGCAGCAGAAAACAAAACAATTTTTGACACAACTTTATTTTTTCTGGATAATTCTGTGCACCTCTACCATATGCTCCATGGCTGTGATGCATGGATCTGCAATCACAGCTTAGAGATAACACTGAAAAAAAAAAAGTCACTTAAAAAGACTTCTGAGAATATCTTGGTCTTTATTTGGAGAAAACATAAGCCAGTTTGTACGGCTTTCAAGCATAAACAGCTATTGAAGTGACAGGGAATTTCAGAGTTTCACTTGGAAGCAAAGGCAGAGGATGGAGTAAGCAGCTTTTTTTCTCTTCTGGACTTATGCATCGCACTTAATCCACAGAAATTAGGTGGATGGATATTCTGGCAAAAATGACATCTTGGAGATGAGAGCAGTTAACTACTAAGGAGTTTTACTAAAATGGTTGCTTTTATACTGTAATGAAAGTACTCACACAGAAATGTAACGGGCACTTTAACTATACTAAAATAATTATGCTTCAAATTATTACTATTACTCTAAAAACTTTCAGAACTTTCTCATTAATGAGTTAAAGGCAGAATCAGAATTCATTCTAAGTAAAAGAGTGGAGCAAATACGAAACCTCAGGGGAACGGAAATATCACAATTTCTTACTAATTACCTGAACACAAGGCTCCCCATGTCTCGAAAAACATCAACACTGGACCGTTGATTTGCATCTTCAGCTCTGAGGCTGCAAATTGTCTCAGCTGGCGGAAATACTTTTCATGAGTGCAACAGAAAGCATATGCTTAGAGGGAGGAACACAACAGAAACACTTTCACTTTTGAAGTGTGCTTGGTAAAAAATTATAATCTTTCTTGATTGTCATAGTCACAGAATGGTTTGGGTTGGAAGGGACCTTATAGATCATCTGGTTCCACCCCCCCTGCCATGGGCAGGGACATCTTCCACCAGACCAGGG